CTCTGGTGGAGTTTTTTGGATCCTCTAAGAATAGAATCATGTCATTGGCAAATAATGATAGTTTAAGTTCTTCTTTTCCTATTCATATTCCTTTAATTTCTTTCATCTGTCTAATTGCTTTGGCTAGAGTTTCAAGGTCTATGTTGAATAGAAGTGGTAAAAGAGGGCATCCCTGTCTTGTTCCAGTTTTTAGAGGGAATGCTTCCAATTTTTCTCCATTTAGAATGATGTTGGCCTTGGGTTTATCACACATAGCTTTTACAATGTTGAAGTATGTTCCTACTATCCCTAATTTTCTGATGTTTTGAACATAAAAGGTTACTGTATTTTGTCAAATGCTTTCTCTGCATCAATTGACATAATCCTATGATTCTTATCTTTAAGTCTATTGATGTGATTAATTATATTTATTGATTTCTGTATTTTGAACAAAACTTGAATCCCTGGAATGAACACCACTTGATCATGGTGAGCTATTTTTAACATGTTTTTTATGCAATTTGCCAGAATTTTATTGAGAATTTTTGCATCTTTGTTCATCAGGGATATTGGTATGAAATTTTTTTTCCTTGATGTGTCTCTGGCCTGGTTTGGTATCAGGATGATACCAGATTCATAGAATGAGTTTGGAAGGGTTCCCTCCTTTTTTATTTCATGGAATAATTTGAGGACTGTTGATATTAATTCTTCTTTGTAAGTCTTGTAGAACTTGGCTGTGAATCCATCTGGTCCTGGGCTTTTCTTGGTTGGTAGGCTTTTGAATGGTGTCTTCTATTTCTGTGCTTGAAATTGATCTGTTTAAATTATTCACATCCTCTTGATTCAGTTTGGGTTGATCATATGCCTCTAGAAATTTGTTGGTGTCTTCAAAGTTTTCTATTTTCCTGGAGTATAAATTTTCAAAATAGTTTCTAATTGTCTTCTATATTTCAATAGTATCTGTCATGATATTTCCTTTTTAATCACAAATTTTAGTAATTCTCTCTCCTTCTTTTTATTAGGATGGCTAAGGATTTGTCGATTTTATTTATGTTTTTGCAAAACCAGCTTTTTGTTATGTCAATTTTTTGAATTGATTCCTTTATTTCAATTTTATTGATTTCTGCCCTATTTTAATTATTTCCTATATTCTACTACTTTTGGTATTGGTTTGTTCTTCTTTTTTTAGGGCTTTGAGATATAATGTCAGGTCATTTATTTGTTGACTTTTTATTCTTTTAATGAATGAGCTTAATGCAGTGAACTTTCCTTATAGCACTGCCCATAGTGTCCCAGAGATTTTGATATGTTGTATTGGATATCTCATTTACATCTAAGAATTTTTTTTATCTCCTCCCTGATGTCTTCTGTTATCCATACATCATGCATTAGTGTGTTATTTAATCTCCAGGTGTTGGAGTAAATTATATTTTTTATTTTATAACTGATTTCTAATTTCATTCCATATGGTCAGAGAGAATGCAGGGTAGTATCTCTGTCTTTTTGTATTTGCTAAGATTTGCTTTGTGGCATAACATATGGTCTATTTTGGAGAAGGTCCATGTGCTGCTGAGAAAAAAGTGTATTCGCTCATTGATGGATGGAATATTTCATATATGTCTATTAAGTCTAAATTATTGATTATATCATTGAGTTCTATAGTTTCTTTGTTTAGTTTTTGTTTGGAAGATCTATCCTATGGTGAAAGAGGTGTATTAAAGTCTCCCAGTATTCTTGTGTTGTGGTCTATTTGATTCTTGTAGTTGAGAAGGGTTTGTTTGACATACATAGATGCCCCATTATTTGGGGCATAGATATTTATGATTGTTATGTCTTGTTAATGTATGAATCCCTTTAGCAGTATGAAATGTCCTTCTCTATCCCTTTTCACTAGCTTTGATTTGAAGTCTACTTTAACTGATAGGACAATGAAACCCGTGCTTGTTTACATGGTCCATGTGAGTGATACATTTTTTCCCCACCCTTTCACCTTCAGTCTGTGGATGTTTTTTCCTGTGAGATGAGTCTCTTGAAGGCAGCATATTGTTGGAACTGTTTTTTTAAATTCAGTTTGTCAGTCTATTTTTTATTTTTTTAAACATTCATTTATGTATCTTTAGTTTTAAGCAGACACATTATTTTGTTTTTATGTGATGCTGAGGATCGAACCTGGTGCCTCATGCATGCTAGGCGAGCGCTCTACCACTGAACCCCAGCTCCAGCCCCAGTCTATGTCTTTTAATTGATGAGTTTAGGCCATTCACACTCAGGGTTATTATTGAAATACGATTTGTATTCCCAGACATTTTGGGTTATTTTTGGTTTTTAACTTGACTTGGTTCTCTTTTGATTCCTTTAGTGTAGTTCCTCTCTTTGCTGATTTCATTGTTGTTTTTCATTTTCTCCTCCTGGAATATTCTCCTGAGGATGCTCTGTAGTGCAGGCTTCCTCGCTATAAATTCTTTTAACTTTTGTTTATCATGAAAGGTTTTTATTTCATCATCAAATCTGAAGCTAAATGTTGCTGGATATGATTCTTGGTTGGCATCCATTTTCTTTCAGAGCGTGATATATGTTGTTCCAGAATCTCCTGGCTTTGAGGGTCTGGGCTGAAAAATCTGCTGAGATTCTAATTGGTCTCCCTGTATATGTGATCTGATTCCTCTCTCTTGTGGCCTTTAAGATTCTAACCTTATTCTGTATGCTATGTGCCTTAGTGTAGATGTGTTATAATTTTGTACATTTTGTGTCCTGTTAGCCGCTTGTGTTTGATTTTTCAATTCATTCTTTGTGTTTGAGAAATTTTCTGGTATTATTTAATTGAAGAGATTGTGCATGCCTTTGGTTTGAATCCTGAACCTTCCTCTATCCCAATAAATCTTAGATTTGGTCTTTTGATGGTATCCCATAATTCTTGGATATTCTCTTCATGGTTTTTTACCATCTTCACTGTGTGTTCAACTTTATTTTCAAGATTAGATATTTTGTCTTTATTATCTGACATTCAGTCTTCCAAATGATCTAGTCTGTTGGTGATGCTTTCTATAGAGTTTTTTGTTTGGTTTATTGTTTCCTTCATTTCACAGATTTTTTTTTTTTACCTTTTTTTAGAATCTTTCTTGAAGTAATCTTTTGCTACCTGTATTTTCTCCCTTATCTCTTTGTTGGAGTGACCAATTTTTGCCTGTATTTGCTCTCTTATGTCATTCTTTAATTTGCAGATCATTTTAATTATGTACATTCTGAACTCCTTCTCTGACATTTCATCAGTTGCACTGTCAAAGGATTCTTTTATTCTAGTATCTTGGTTTTTGGGGGGCACTTTCTTCCTTTGTTTTTTCATTTTGTCTATGTGTCTTCATTTCTTGCAGTGTGGGTCTGAGGTATTGCAGTTTCTACACTATACTCTTGTAGTGTCCCTGCAGATTACCTGTCCCTCACCTTGGTGTTGGGCTTCCAGTCCCTGGCCGGTGTCCCAAGATGAATGCCACTGCAACTAAAGGTGGTGGTGGCAGTAGCGGAGGTAACATAAGACTGTAGTGGGGGTGTCCCAAGATGGATGCAACCACTTTCAGAGATGGGGCTGAAAGGGCAGGCCATACAATGGCTTTGTGCTGCCTGTACAGAAATGCAGCACTGTGGCCGCAGTGCTAGGGCAGGCAGCTGCCTCCAAGGCCTGTCTGTTGTCCCAAGGTGGAGGCTACTACGTGGAGAAGGCTATATGGCAAAGGCTGCAGTGACCCAAGATGGAGGCGGGCTGGGGGAGCAACCTGTTGGTAAATGGGGAGCCCCAGCGTGGTCCTCCACCCTGCCCAAGAATGATTCTGGGCCTGGGCTCTCACACTGGTCAGTATGGGTGGTCCTAGATCTGAGCCTAGGCTCCGGCATGGGTCAGCAGGTCAGTGGGGGCACAGATAACCTTTGATGATGGAACCTATATACTAAATGTGCTGAGCTAGCTCTCGGTCAGTCAAAATCCATCGGAGCTTGGCTGCCCACCTGGCTCTACCTTTCTCTCTCTATGTGTGTCCTTTGTTTTGTTTTGTTTTCTGTCTTTTCTTCATCCCCCATCGTTCCTTATCCAGTATCACTCCCTTATTTAATGGCCATGGATCAGAGAGAGATGAGACAGCTGTGGCAGTTGGTACCCAAGCAGAGACACGAGAGGCCCAGGCAGACCTCTTTCTTGGTGTTTTTCATAAGAGCCAGGGTTTTACCATGTTGCCTCTGGGCTCAAGCAATCCTCCTGCCCTGTCCTACAAGTGCTGAGGCCACAGGCACATGTCTCCGCACCCACACTGAGGAAGAGGGAGATGTCAGCAACTTTTAATGCTGCAGATGACTTGAGAGAGTCGAAGATCAAGGGGGTAGAGAACAGAGATCTTCTGAGGCTGCAGAGGTGGCAGGAGAGGGTGCTGGCCCCAAGGCTTTGCTGAAATAAGCAACAGGGGGTCATGGAGGGCCTTCGAGAGAATAAGCACCGAAAAATGCAGCACAACAATTTATGAAATTTGATGGTTGGGAAGAGAGAGAGAGAGAGAGAGAGAGAGAGAGAGAGAGAGAGAGAGAGAGAGAGAGAGAGAGAGAGAGAAGAGGATGGAGATTGACGGTGGCCAGGACGAGCAAAATATTTTTCGGATGGAGAGATCAATATTTGGAGGCTCAGACAAGTATGAAAAGGAAGCAAAATTGATAGAGCAAATCCTTGAAGGTGCAGAAGTAAATGAGAGAAAGAGTACAGTGAAGCTAGTTCTCCAACACGTGAATGTGAAGTTACTCAGACATCCAAAGGTGGGAGGAAGGGAGTCAACATTGTTGGAGGGCCCTGAGCTTCAGCTTGAAATATGGGAATTTGGGACTCCCTCTAGGCAAAGAAATGAGGGTCAACCCAGGATTGTGATGATGCTGTGATTTATCAAGTGTTCATTCAGGTCACAAAAGCCTCATCAACACACTTGATGACATAACACAGCTCAGGAGAGTGGATTCAGAGATATTAAGGAAATAGCTGGCTGGATTGACTCAGGGGTGTAAGGTACCTAAATCCCTGGGCAGGCAGAGGTAGGAGAAGATTGGGGATACAGGATCCTAGGGATACTCCTCAATTATCTTGAGTTTCTGACCCTGATTTCACTCTCTCCTCCTCCTTCCTTCTCTGAGCAGCCTCTCTGGAGAAAACTCTTCCTTGTCCTCAGCTGATCTTTTATCTGGTTTTAAAGGTAAAAACATGGCAGCCCACCAACTTGATGCCATTAATTTGGAAGGAGGAGGAGGCCTGTATATGTTGTGGATCCACTGGAAAACCTGTTAGAAAAGGAAAACAACAACAACAATTGCCCCATTGAGTTCCATGGTGATATTTGCCATCTTTGGGGACTGTGTTACAAAAATAGGAAGATCCGACTAGGACTAGGAGGTGGGTGGACTGAGATCCATAAATCATGTTTGCAATCTTTAAGAAATGCCTTTCCCGGGCCAGTAGGGGGGCAAGCAGGGTTTAAATCCTCAGGTAAGTGTTAAGTGGGATATTACTTGTCCTGCTTGGAATAACAGGGAATAAGGCACTGGGTTTGCAGTGGGACAGGGAGAGCCGAGTTTAGATCACCTAGAGTGAGTCAGTCTGCTTTCCAGAACCTAAAGGTGAAATAGGAATGATGCATGAGAATGATGTCTATGGTTGGTGGAGGAGGGAAGGACTGGAAAAAAGAGAGAGAGAGAGACAGCTGTCAATCAACCTTTGCTGAATTTAACTGAAACAGGAAAGATGTGCATAATATGGTACCCAGAAGAAAATCACCAAGTGAAAGAGAAATTTAAGGTGCATGACTTAAAGAATCAAGGTTTCCTTGGGTACCTGACCTGAGGTCACCCTCAGAAACTCTTAGCCAATGGTAACCAAGGGAGTCAGACCTGGCCTGGGATATCAGCGACGAGGGGCTGGGCTTGTTCCCTGCTCAGATCGCTGGAAGTGCCCAATGTAAGTCAGGACCTGGGTCCATGTGGCTTCTTTCTCTAAACTGAAATGCAGATTGAAATAGAATGTGTTCAACAAGGAGAGAATTCATGGACAATAATTACTTCAAACACATGCCGGTCACCATAATAAGTAGATATAAACCCTTTACATGCCAATTCTCTTAATTTTCATGCAACCCTCTTGAAGAATACTACCGTTTCTTCTGTGTCATGCAGGAGGAACGGAGACAGGAGCTCAGAGCCATTCAATGGAAGCTAAGGAAGTTTTCCCCCTGAGGCCTGTCCACTGCCTGGGGCCCTGCCAGACCAGCAACGTGTTCTTGTGGTTGTGTATTTTCTTCTTTTTTTTAGTGTTTTCATTAGGGGATTATAATCATACATAATAGTGGGATTTATTTGGACATAATCACAGATGATAGAATATAACTAGCTCCATTCAGTCTCAGTACTTCCTCTATCTCTTCTCATCTTCCTCATCCTGTTCCCCTACCTCTTACTCTGTGGTCATGTATTTTATAAGTTTTGCAAAAGAAAATGATTGTATTTGCAATTGGTTAGCATATGTTTTCCTTTCCACTCTGATGTCCCCAATAGGGCACATATGTTCCCTGTGTCCGGTGATGTCAGATGGCCATAGCGATGGGGGTTGGGGTAAAGGACTGTTGAGCAGGAGATGTATTCAGTTTGGACCAAGTGAGGTACGTTTATGTGATTTCTTCACCTCTGCCTTTGGTTCAAGCTAACTTTGTGTCGGAAGAACTTCTAGGACGTCTTGGACTGCCACCTTTCTGATCTGCCAGTGTCATGGCTGTGTCTTTGAGGGGCACACGGAAGGGGGGGGGAGACCCAGTTCTGAAGCACCTGGAACTTGAAGCTACTCTGTGGGGAGCTCTCCCAGTTACCAGATGGGCAACATTGTCAGCAGCGTCCATTCTCATGGACGGAAGGTCTCTCGTCTCAGGAGTATTCTCAATATCACAGTTTTCTTTCATGATGGCAAGTCCAAGAAAAACAATCTATTGCAATTGCTGCATTTTTAGGACACAAATCAATAGTAGTACTAAATATAGTGAGTGTATCTATACATGGAGTCTCGTGTTCTATGTATTTCAACACCCAATAATGAAAACGTTTCCAACAACCATGCTAGAGGAAAGACTAAATTGTCTTCTATAAAGTCGTTGTCATGTGAAGAGATGATCAGAGCCCCCTCTCCCCCCAAAAAATAGAGTAAAAATCTTACAGAGTGTATGTTTTTAATAAAAGCATAAGGTTGTTTTTCTGGATTGTATGGTGTTTTGATATTTGTCATCTCTTTAATATTTGTAATTTTACCATCCAAACCATCACTTTTATATCTAATATTTTATTTGTCATTTTATATTCTTTTCTTCTTTAAAACTCCAAATTGCATGAGCGTCAAGTCCCGCAAACTCTGTAGCTCTTTCTGCCAAATAGTTGACAAGGTGAAATCATGCCCACTCCACGGCCCAGGGAGGATTTGAAGCCAGAACCCAATGGCTGGCCTCACAGGGTGTCTTGGACTATTACCATGCACCACTTTGCTGGGACCTGGGACAGTGCAGGTTCTGTCTAGGTCCGTCAGCGTGCAGGGCCCAGGCGGCGTGAGTCTGCTACTCTGTGGGCCATGTTCTGAGGGGCCAGGGTCTCTAAGCTAATGTGCTCCATGGCTAGCTCTTGTGCAGTGTAACTAGATCACTGTAATTGCTTCCTTATGAAGGGGGCCTCACTGATAATTGCCTTCCCCTCACTTCAATCCTGGAGACCTGTGTGAATTGAGAAGTTTTGGGAACACCTTTTGCACTCCTTGACTTCCCTCCTATACCTTTTGGAGCTCCTCCCATGGACTGTGTAGTTTCCAGAGGTCGTTACTAAGCTCTCATCTTCTCTGCTCCAGGTGGGCATGTTCCCATTTTGCAGACAAAAGCATCTCATCCAGGGAGGTAGTGTGACTTGCCCAGTGTGACAGGGTCAGTTGAACTCACAGCTCTGGTCACCCTCTCACCTAGTGGCAGGTGGGCTAAGTGGGAAGTCCCAGCAGTCAGTTTTGAGTGCTTAAGAAGAATGTCCTCCCCATCATCCTGCACATCGGGCAGCAATACCCAGGCCTCTCTTTTCTGAGTTCATCTCCAATCTGAGATTGGCCCAGGGTGCCACAGGAAGCCTCAAGATCTTCTAGCAAGGGCTGGGGATATAGGTCAGTTGGTAGAGTGTTTGCCTTGCATGCACAAGGCCCTGGGTTCAATCCTCAGCA